GAACGTTCGGTACCTTAGGTTTCGGTTTCGACCTCTCGGTATCGGAAACAGACTTAGCCTTCGATGTCGACGGCCTCGATGCCGATGCGTCGGTAGCGGAAGACATGGCGACGGAGGAGGAGACCGGCGGGTCAGCCATCGGTTGAAGCGCTTTCTCCAAGAGGAAAACTCTTAAACGTGCCGCTCTGTTCTTCCGAGTTTGGTTCGAGAACTGCGCACAATGCTCACAGGAATCAGGATTATGTGTCTCTCCAAGACAGAAAATACAGTACTTATGGCCATCTGGAGGAGCCAATTTACTTCCACAAGTACGACAACGGTTGAAAAATCCCCACTTCTTCGACTTTTTTGTCTTCTTCTTCTCCATAGAATGAGGAGAAAAAGATCAGCGACAAGGAGGGGGTGGGGGGGTGGGCCAGCGGCCCGAAGCAATTTTACCTCAGACGACGAAAAACAAAAATTCTCCTTTAAAAAAAAAACACACAGGAAGAGAAAGAGAAACTGAAGAAAAACTGAGGCGAAAAACGAGAGCTAATCACTAAAAAGTGATCCAAAAACATCGATCTGGCCAGACGTCTCGAAGAAAGGTCTGCTCAGCGCGGCGGAAAGGAAAGAACTGGCGGGATGTCCGTGCCTGCCCTTCTGGGCATGCTCACTGGGGCTCCTGAGCATGCTCAGTTGGGCCAGGCACGAAAATCCTTTTAAGAGAGCTTGCTAGGCACCGGCAGATCCAGCGCAGGCGCACTAGATCCCATTGGTGTGAAGCACAGAGACCACGAAGAAGATCAATAAATACATCCACAAGTATCACACTCGGCTCCAAAAGGAAATCAAAAGTAACCCTCTGTGCATCCATGAAACCTTGAGCTTTTCTTTTTTTTTTTTTTGGATCTGTACGGCTTCGAAGTTTGGCAGACATTCTTTCAACAGTTCCACTGTGTCTTTGTGATAATCGGTGGCATCTTTACTTAAAACATCTCCACTGGCTCCAAGGTAGTCTGCCGCCAAAGACTTGAACAGTTAAGTGGCCACTGATTAACAATGAAAGCAAGGTTACCGAATGGTGTAACCTGTGGGGCCACCGGGAAAGAGAACGGCTGTTTCATTCAGGCATCACCCAAACAGAATATCGTGGCCCGAGATCCTTTATGGCTTGGAAGTTAAAAACCCGTGGTTTGAACTGTGCCTGCAAACAGGCTGAAAATTCTGTGAGCATCGACAAACCTCTGACTATCCCTCCAGTTTGGTGTGGTGGATAGGAGCGTGGACTCTAATCTGGGAGAACCGGGTTGGATTCCCAACTTCTCCACATGCAGCCAGCTGGGTGACTTTGGGTCAGTCGGTTCTCTCAGAGCTCTCTCAGCCCCACCTACCTCACAGGGTGTCTGTTGTGGGGAGACGAAGGGACGGAGATTGTAATCCTCACAGGGTGTCTGTTGTGGGGAGACGAAGGGAAGGCGATTGTAATCCACTCTGAGACTGAAGAGCAGGGTATACGCCAGATTGGTGCAGTGGTTAGGAGCGCAGGCTCTAATGTGGGAGAACCGGGTTGGATTCCCCACGCCTCCACATGCAGCTGCCAGTGTGACCTTGGGTCAGTCACAAGTCCTCTCAGAGCTGTTCTCTCAAAGGCAGTCCTCAAGAGAGCTCTCTCAGCCCCACCTACCTCACAGGGAAGGGAAAGGAGATTGTAAGGCACCCTGAGACTCCTTTGGGTAGTAAAGGTTGGGGTATAAATCCAGTCTCCTCTCCTCTCCCACTGTACAGCGGACATGAAAGAAAATGTTTGGAACGTTTTAACCTTTTGTATATGGTTTTACAGTACTGGGTAGAAGAAGAAGAAGAGATTGGATTTATACCCCGCCCTTCACTACCCAAACTCCTTTCCCTTCCCCTCCCCACAACAGACACCCTGTGAGGTAGGTGGGGCTGAGAGAGCTCTGAGAGAAACTGCTCTTTTTCAAGGGCAGCTCTTGTCAAAACTACGGCTTGCCCAAGGTCATCCAGCAGGTGCAAGTGGAGGAGTGGGGAATCAAACCCGGTTCTCCCAGATTAGAGTCTGCACACTTAACCACTGCCCCAAACTGGTGATTAATGTAAGCCTCCCTGAGCCTGCTCGTGGGGAGGCCAGGGTATAAATAGAATAAATAAATAAACCAATAAATAAATAAAGATAATGACAGTCGGGTTCGCCAGCACAGGGCAGTCTCTGCTCTCCCTGGGACAAAATGGCCCACTTGGGGCGGGTGTTTCTATAAAGCCTGCATGATTTTTAAACACACAACTGAATTGATTCCATCCATTCCTCTTTCGGGGAGAAGGGACACTTCCCAGCCTGTGCGCACAGCGAACTCCTTGGCTCCTGTCAGGACAGGAGTGATTTATTTCCACATTCAAATTTATTTAAATCAAAACAGTTACAAGGCTTTCCATCAACCCCCTGCCCCGCAATTAAGCAATTTAATTAACTGTCTCTACACCATGTTAATGGATTAGAGATCCCCCGCTGGTTGACAACTGTAATTACGCGCAGGTCATCCTCGCTGGCGGGAGGGGGGGTTCACGGGAGGGAGGGATGACAAATGAGAGGACATCAAAAGGCATATGAAGGATGCTGGGCTTCAAGGAGAGGTCCTCTACCCGCGTGGCCCCCTGGGTGGGAGCTTCCACTTACCGGACTGCCTTCGACCACGGCCCCTTGCTGGTTCTCAATCACCATGACTAGCTGGGCTTGGAAAGTGATTATCAGCACTGGGCCCTGCTCCATCATCTTACCCAGTGCAAGCTGCAAAGACAGAGAGAGAGGAAGAGAGAGACTGAAAGTCGCTGGTCCACAACGTTTCAGCGTAGATGGGTGCAGCGTTCCCTCTAAGCTGAGTTAGTATGGGCTCGCTCACAGTTTTTTAGTCTCCAGCTCACAGGTTTTTGCCTTAGCGCAGGAAGGGTGGCTCCAGAGCACACCAAGTTAGGCAGCAGCCAAATCACTTGCTAACAACTTTAATGCCAGCAGCTCACAAAGTAGATTTTTTGTTCACAAGATTCCACAGCTTAGAGGGAGCATTGGATGGGTGCAGCCATCAGATCTTCCATTCTCCACACAAAAGGAAGTACGACCCTTGACCTGGGTAGCCCAGGAAAGCTGGACCTTGTCAGATCTCGGGAGCTAAGCAGGGCCGACGCTGGCAAGGACCTGGATGGGAGACCTCCAAGGAATACCAGGGCCAGGACGCAGAGGCAGGAAATAGAGAGCCACTTTCCTGAACGTCCAAGCCCCAACAGGGGTCGCCAGAAGTCAATCATGACTTCCAGGGCTGTACATACACACAAAAATACCAAACCCCCCCTGAAAAAGGAAGAAAGAATGAGATAATTAAAGCCCATCAGGTGTGGAATTTGGAACGTGGAATGGGAAACAGTGATTTGTACACTGAAGCTAGAACAGACTGCCTCGGGAGGTGGTGGATGCTCCTTCGCTGGACGTTTTCAAGCAGAGGCTGGACGACCATCTTTCGGGTATGTTGTAGGGCTGTCTTTCGGCTCTGCTCCTGCAGAGTGCAGGGGGTTGGACTAGATGACCTGCAAGGTCCCTTCCAACTCTAACATTCTGTGAGTCTATGATTCTAACTTGAGCCGAAGCCCTGATGCCCTGTCATCGCTAGGAAGAAGAAGAGAGAAGAGACTGGATTTATACCCCACCCTTCACGACACAAAGGAGTCCCAGAGCGGCTTACAATCCCTTCCCCTCCCCCACAACAGACACCCTGTGAGGTAGGTGGGTCTGAGAGAGCTCTGAGAGAACTGCTCCTGAGAGAACAGCTCTGAGAGAACTTGTGACTGACCCAAGGTCACACCAGAAGCTGCATGTGGAGGAGTGGGGAAACAAACCCGGCTCTCCCAGATTAGAGTTTGTGCTCCTAACCACTACAACCAAACTGGCTCTCCAAGGGCCCTTGGAGAGAGATGGTATAAACCCTTTGATAGATATATAGCTTTTGGAAAAGGGGGGGGGGGCGCTGCTGAGATTGGATCCTTGGGACTGGTCCTCCCCCCCCCCCCCCGCCAGAGCCTGAGGTCTAGACAGCCAGAACTGCCAATCCCTCACCTCTGAGAACAGAAGTTGATCTAGAGAATTGTTTCGGTTTTCACGGGTTCCTTGGCCTGCCGTTCCACAATCATTCCACAATCCCCACCACCGGAAGACCCCAGACCGCCCGGGGGCCTTCTGCCGGAAGCTCTCCCCCTCCCCCCTCTCCATGCTCTTTGCAGTTTTTTCTTGAGTGTTGCATGGCAAGGGATGGAGGGGAGGGCTGGGGAGGCGAATCATTTTCACATTCTCCTCCTTTCTGGCCCCACCTCGTGGCTCTCCGTTGCTGGGGAAACGGATGCTTCACTTTCTCACCAGCCCCAAGCGACATCATGGGGAACTGGGGCGATATTTTTAATGCCAAGTGTGAATGCTGAATAAGAAGCCCTTCTGGAAAGACGCCTCAGTTACCTCAGATGAGTACTCTGTTTATACCAGGCACAGAGTTCTGAGAAGCATCTTTCTGGTGAAGAAGTAAGTTGCTAGACCTCAGGGCGGCAGGCTATCGATTCAAACCCAGCGCTGCAGGAGATTTTTTGCTTCATTTGTGGTTTTTTTTAAACGAGGATGTCGCTGGACCTCAAGACTGCTTTGCCACAACCAAAAATCAGAACTCCAAACATGCTAGTTAAAGGTAAAGGTTTCCCTTGCTCAAAAGCCAGTCGAATCCGACTCTAGTGATGCAGTGCTGTTAGATCCCAAATCAGGAGAATAGACCCACGTTCAAAAGAAGTAAGATTTATTTCCAAAGCTTGGTTGATCATGAACATACAGAGATTGTTTGGAATAACTACAAGAGTCAGGGGAAGGTGTATTAAAGCAACTTCAAACTAGGTTTAAACCAATGAGCTCATTTCCCTCGTAAGGTTACAGATTAGGAAAGGCGCGAAGCGGCCTGAGAACAGCAACGGCCCGTTCCATAAACACTTGTTGAGTTCACACAGGAAATCTAAACAAGCCAGAGCATAAAGACACAACACCACCTCGCACCAGCTGGAGAACCTTGGCAGTTACAGATGCACAACAGGAGAAGGATAACAACTACATGAGTGAAGGGGGGAGGGGGGAGAAAAGGGACAAGGCTTGTCCCAAGAAGATGGCAGCTCGCTGACAAGTGCTCATCTCCGTTTCCAAGCTGAAGAGCCAGCGCTGTCCAAAGACGTTTCCGTGGTCACGTGGCCGGCATGACTAGACGCCAAGACCCACAGAACGCTGTTACCTTCCTACTGAAGCAGTACCTATTTATCTACTTGCAATTTCTTGCTTTCGAACTGCTAGGCTACACCAGTTTGGTGTCGTGGTTAAGGTGTCGTGGTTTGGTGTCTGATCTGGGAAAACCGGGTTTGATTCCCCCACTCCTCCACTTGCACCTGGCTGGATGACCTTGGGCAAGCCATAGTTCTGATAAGAGCTGTTCTTGAAAAAGAGCAGTTTCTGTCAGAGCTCTCTCAGCCCCACCTACCTCCCAGGGTGTCTGTTGTGGGGAGGGAGAGGGAAAGGAGTTTGTAAGCCACTCTGAGACACCTTTGGGTAGTGAAGGGTGGGGTATAAATCCAATCTCCTCTTCTTCTTCTTCTAGGTTGGCAGGAGCTGGGACCAGAGATGGGAGCTCACTCCATCACGTGGCACTCGGGTCTCCAACTGCTGAACTACCGACCTTTCCGTCCGCAGTTCAGCGTCTTAAAAACTTGAGCCGCCGCAGCCACTTCCAAACACGCTAGAGAACCATTATCCATCCCACACACCGGGTCCCTGGCAGCTTCTAAATCCACGTATCTTTTCAAGGACCAAACTAAATGCCTCACATTCAAGGACCACTCTTCCATAATGAGACAATGAATGGATCACACGCAAGCACATCCATTAAAGTGCCAGTCATTCCTGCCACCCCCCCCCCAGTAATGGCACGCAAGTTGCAAAGGTAAAGGTTCCCTTGCTCGAAAGCCAGTCGAGTCCAACTCTAGGGTTGCAGTGCTCATCTCTATTTCAAAGCCGAAGAGCCAGCGCTGTCCGAAGACGTTTCCGTGGTCATGTGGCTGGCATGACTAAACACCAAGGCGCACGGAACGCTGTTACTTTCCCACCGAAGTGGCACCTATTTATCTACTTGCAATTTCTTGCTTTCGAACGGCTTGGTTGGCAGGAGCTGGGGCCAGAGACGGGAGCTCACTCCGTCATGTGGCAACTCGGGTCTCGAACTGCTGAACTACCGACCTTCCACAGCCTGCAGTTCAGCGTCTTAACCACTTGAGCCATCGCAGCATGCAAACTGAGCAAGACACAGTGTGACCTAACCATGCTCAGATCACAGACTTTGCTGAGGGCCACTCGCACTACTTAGTTCTATTCCAAATTTGTATTTATGTATTTATGTTATCTGTAGCCTGCCTTTCTCACTTGGACTCAAGGTGGATCACACAGAGTGAGTCAATACAGGAGACAGGATGGACCATTCAGTGACAAATGCAATAGGAATTGCGGCTGTAGAACCAACCAGAAGTCTACAATCAGAACTCAAGCTAAAAGTTCGACAAAAAAGGGGGAAAGGAAATCAATTTTAAAAAAAAGAAAAAGTCAAAAAAACATAAAACTTTCAAGATTCCTCGATGACACAAATACAGTTACTTAATATTAAGTCTAAAATTGTGACAGTTAACTTACACTAAACAACAAAAGTACCTCAACACTTCTTAAATTTCTGGTTTTTAAAGAATCTCCTTAGTCATCAAATACACAGATCAACAAATCGTTTTTTCTTTTTCAGGCAAAAAGTCAATAAGAGGTTTCTAGTTAGCTATTAACGTATATATAGTATTTTCTCTGATCAGAGAAGTGCCTGCAAAATGCCTCCCCCCCTTTTTAATAGGAATTTGTTTTTGTTCTGCTTAAAAACTCTTAATAAAAATATTATTAAAAAAATAAAAGCAGAACTGAAGCAAAGCAGAAGTATCGAGACTACACATTAAAAGATACAAAAAGTACCTGGTAGGATCCGGGTTTCAGCAAGTTATACGCAGTAATACAGACAACAGTCCCCAATAATCTACCCAAGTAGCTTTGGGAAACGTTTAGCATCATGTGACTCTATTGCTCATTTGCACTGTTTCAACTGCAGCAAGATGCTGCAGGAGCAGTGGCAACGGCACCAACATAAGGAGCCTATGACTTACGTCCACGTTGTCGATGTCCAGGATTTTGGAGGAGAACCGAAGACCTGTCGCCTTCGCCTGTTGAATCGGCTGCGCCAGCTGGCTATAGGTCTGAAATGGGAACCCACCGGTTAGAAGAAGAAGAGGAGACTGGATTTATACCCCGCCCTTCACTTGGAGTCTCAGAGCAGCTTACAAACTCCTTTTCCCTTCCCTCTTTCCCTGGAAAGAGAGCTCTTTCCAGAACAGCTCAGAGAGAACTGTGGCTTGCCCAAGGTCACCCAGCAGCTGCAAGTGGAGGAGTGCAGAATCAAACCTGGGTCTCCCAGATAAGAGTCCGCGCACTTAACTGCTACACCAAACTGGCTCCCAACAACGCTTCTAAGCTGGCCTCCAAAGACAAGGAGGGTGGCGAAGAAGCGGCGGCGGCGGCCAAACTGTACACATGCAGAGACTCTGCACGCGTGCAGGGAAAAAAGGCCAAAAACACAGACCTTTCGCTTTTAAAAAGTTAGTCGTGTGAGCAAAAGAGCTGCAGGGGAAGGCCTGCTCATATCTCAGCCCCCAGAGGAGTTGCAGCAAGAAATCCCCAAGTGGCTCCACTTCTACCACCAGTCTGCGGCTGGAACACACGACGCAGGCCTTACACAGAGTCAGACCATTCATCTACTCCGGTCAGTCCTGTCTACTGAGACTGGTGGTGGCTCTCCAGGGTCTCGGGCGGAGGTCCTTCGCATCACCTACTGCCTCGTCCTTTCACCTGGGGGTGTCGGAGACTGAACCCGGGACCATCTGCGTGCCAAGCGGATGCTCTGCCACTGAGCTGTGGCTCACCCTCCTCGGGTTTCCTCGGCACAGTCAGCCTAAGAGGCTCGGGTCCTGGATGACTGCCAGACATTTACAACTGGTGCTGGAAACAGCTCTCCGACAAGAGAAAATGGGATTACACAACCCGGGGAGCATTGCTCCATTAAGCCCACCGCAGATGTCCTTTTGGCAGGGTTTAGCCCACTGAGTCGGCTTCTGTTTTGTAAACTACAGTTTGTTTTTCTGCGCAAGTATGAGACTCTTGGTGCGCTCCCTTTGTCGGGCTGGGCTTGACTTTCGATTCCTCGCAGACCTGTTTCTTTTCTCCTCGTTTGCCACGTTAAATTCCTGAGGGGGGGAGTGAATGTTGTTGGGAGTGTTGGGGAGTAGGAGCGGCAACTATCTGAAGGGGGCCCCAAGAGCCTGGTTCCCGTGGGATTGACCTTGGAGATCTCTATGCCAGCCTAGGTTATAATAGGGCATCATATCTCTGTCCATATTGCCACGGGGTTACGCTGAGGGGTAGGTATGACGAGTGTAAGAGTGGAATTTTCTAGTTTTACCTATAATCTGCGTGTTCCCGCGTTTTCTCTTCAGTCCTAACGGAAGCTCTTGACCATCTCTCTAACAAAGCATTACACTGCCAACAGTGTGTGTGGAGAGTGAATTAGCTGGGGGACCTGACACCCTTCCTCGCAGGGCTGCTGCCGTCATGGGGAGGCTGCCGTTCCAGTTCTGGGCCCCTTTTAATTCGGGGCTACCTTTATGCTTTCTCCAAAGTCATGTTTAACATTTCTTCTTGCTGCTTTTTGCTTATTTGTAATGCATAAAAAGCCCTTGGGAAGGGGCTGTGGCTCAGTAGAAGGAGGAGGAGGAAGAGATTGGATTTATACCCTGCCCTTCAGTACCCTAAGGAGTCTCAGAGCGGCTTACAATCTCCTTTCCCTTCCCCTCCCCACAACAGGTAGGCGGGGCTGAGAGTGCTCTTTTGAGGACAGCTCTTGAGAGGACAGCTCTGAGGGAACTTGTGACTGACCCAAGGTCACACCAGCTGGCTGCATGTGGAGGAGTGGGGAATCACCCTTCATTACCCGAAGAAGTCTCAAAGTGGCTTATAATCTTCTTTCCATTCCCCTCCCCACAACAGACACCCTGTGAGGGAGGTGGGGCTGAGAAAGCTCTGAGAAAACGGCCCTTGAGAGAACAGCTCTGAGAGAACTTGTGACTGACCCAAGGTCACACCAGCTGGCTGCATGTGGAGGAGTGGGGGAATCAAACCCAGTTCTCCCAGATTAGAGTCCCTGTTCCTCACCACCAAACCAAACTGGCTCATCATGCAGAGGGTCCCAGGTTCAATCCCCGTCATCTCCAGTTAAAAAGGGATCGTAGGTGATGCGAAGACCTCACAGTCTGAGAACCTGGAGAAGCTGCTGCCAGTCTGAGCAGACAACGCTGACCTTGATGGACCGAGGGTCTGGTTCGGTAGAAGGCGGCTTCATGTGTTCATGTGTCCTCACTGGACAAGATCCATTCGGTTTGGCACCGTTCCCAGCGGTGGCCCGCAAGTAAAGCAAGAAGGCAACAGTCCTCCCTTATGGCCTGTCCCCCAAAAACCTGTATTCAGAGATGCCGTGCCTCTGAACATGCAGGTTCCATTCTGCCAGCACAACTGGCAGATGCCGACAGACCTCTCTTCCATGAAGCTGTCTGGTTCCCTTTGCAATGGCCGCCGCCGTACCTAATTTCGTAAGGTCCTTACGTCTTGTGCAGAAAAAGATGGACTTTCTGACTGTCCTGAAATCGCCTTTCTCAAGTTCTAGTATGAGGGGCGAGGGAGCAGAAGAAAGTCTCAGTGCACTTTCTCCACCCCAGGTAGCAGTGGCGGGCCTACATTTTTGGGGCCCTGAAGCTTGAACTGTTCTGGGGGGCCCTTCTCAACCAGCAACAACAGGGCCACATCCAACAAAGTCCAAAGGGCCTGGCTGCCCCTGCAAGGACCTTGAAGATCCAAATGGCAGAGAATAGGGTGGTGGGGTGGAGCCCTTGAAAATGGGCCATACAGTGAGCCCCTTCCCACCAGCAATGGGGTCTGGGTAACTGCTGTTATCTTCTTCAGTGGGGTTCGGGTGCTGCAAGCCCCCGAGGAAATGTTGAAATCTGACCAATTGCAGGGACATTCTGAGGCCATACGAAACGGGTATTAGAGCATATTCTAAGGTCAATATTAAGTACTTCAGCCCACTGGCCTATGATTCTGTCACTAAAATAGCCTTATTTTAATAGCAAACACTTAAAAAAAAACCTCCATCAATTGTGTTGAAAAATTCACTCGTTGCTCCAGGATTAAGGGCCCTGAGCTTCATAGCAGATCTGCCCCTGCTGGGTAGAACTTCAAAAATCTCAATCATGCCCCCCTCCTTGGTGGACTTTTTTCTAAACCAAACAGCCCCGCCCCCCTGTCCTCTCCAGCTGGTTCCAGCGGGGAAGGGGCTCATTTCTGGCACCTAAATTCTGCCCTGGGCCTCTGCTTTGGAAGCGTGAGCTGTACAGAAAAAGGGCCAAAGCGACTCCCGCAATCAAGGATGGTTACAACGTCTGCAAAGGGGGCAAATGTCAAGAGATGGGCTCGAACCAAAGAAGAAGAGAGACAGGCGGGCACAATGACAAAGGAGTCCTCGCTCTGCCCATCCAGCCCAGCTCACAGGTGCCTGCCTGGACAGAGGGAATGGGGAACAAAAGGCTGGGAGAGGGCCTGGGGCTGCCGGTCGCCCCCCCCCCCGGTGGCTCATGAGTCCAAAGGGCTACCGGGGATGACACAAACCCTGCCTGCTCCTGTCTTGGGTGAGATACTCACCGATTCGTAGCACCAGTCTTTCAGGATATCCAGATCTCCAGTTACCATGGCCTAAGGAAGAGGGAGGAGAGGGAGGGAGGTTGTAAACGATGGAGACCGTAGCCGCAAGAGGAAAGACGGATCCCCTCGGTGGGCCAGAAGCAGTTCGGAGGTTGCCCCCGCTTCCTCCCGGAAAAGACCGAGGTACCGAGCACCGGCTTGGCCCTACCTGGATTTCAACCTCTGCCTCTCCTCTTGCTTCCCTGACAGTCTTTCGATTACACGTGAAAGTGAACAAAATTTAGAGTCCAGTCGGGCACCCAAGACCAACAGAGGTTTACTCAAGGTACGAGCGTTCGTCTGCAAGGCACACTTTTTCAAATACGTTGGAATGGTGTGTAAGGTTCAGTGTTATAGACAGGGAAATTAACATGTAACACTAGGAATGAATGAATATTTATTTGTGGTCAAAGACAGGGAAATTAACATGTAACTTGATGATGTTTAAGATAATGCAAAGTCCAAAATGACAAGCTAAGGCTATAAAGTCAACAGTTTATAACCTTAGCTTGTTATTCTGTTACATGTTAATTTCCCTGTCTCGACCAGAGCATGGCTGATAACTCAGTTCTGGCTTAAACTTCATTTCCATGCTAAAGCTAAAAGTATTATTACTCACATGTTAACTGAGTCCCATCTCTCTCCATGGCTGTCGTTGTATGACAGAGAGGCCTAGAGAATGGGCCATTCTTTTGACAAGGTCTGCATATGAAGTGAGATTGTCGGATGGTGATATAGGGAGGTCCTCCGCAACAGCTTGGTTAGGAGACTTGTGGTCAGGGGAGGTTTGGATCTCCGAAGCCTCTGTATCAGAATCGTCTTCTCCAGATTCAGAGGAGCCCTGCTCTGGCATTTGTACTGGAGTGACTTCCGCTTGACCAGTTAAAATCTTTGGTGGAACGACTTGGGGGTCGGGAGGACTAAAAGGTTCTGATTGATGGTGGGAAGGATCCTCAGCCGAAGGTCGAGACAGAGATGCTGAAGGTCTCGATTTGTAGGGTGACCTTGATCGCAGGAGTCAGCCACGGCATGGATGGTGGATAACCACCGTAGAGGTATCTCAGTTGGCGTGGATCCCAAGACATAGGTGGTGGTGGTGGGGATAAAGACTCGGGGGGATCGACTTCTGGATTGAGCACGTCTCGGAGACAAAGGAATGTGCTGCCTTTGTGAACGGTCCCTATAAACTCGCTCATCGATATCGACAGGTTCGACGTGCAGACGTGGAGGTTGACGCTGCGTGCTAGTAGAAATGTGTCGATTCCGACCTGTATCGATGTCAGGAGCTCCTTCTTTGCTGCCTTTAGAGCCTTAGAGGAGCCCTTTTTTGCGGACTTACCTTTACTTGCCTTGGGCCTCTTCTTAACCGGTGTGGAAGCGGAGGATTGTACCTTCGATGCCAGAGGCTTCGACGTCGGTCGAGCGATGTCAGAGGCAGGCCTTGATACCAGAGCCGTCGAGGTCGAAGGTCTCTCTGAGTCCATAGCTGAGGAAGGATGTAGTGCCGATTCAAGTAGCGCCACTTTGAGGCGCACAGCTCGGTTTTTTCGGGTCTAATTCGAAAACCTAGCACAGTGTCGGCAAGACTCGGGTCAGTGAGACTCACCCAAACAAAAAATACAGAGGATGTGGCGGTCAGGCGGTGCGAGTTTACTGCCGCAGCCTTTACACCGGTTAAAAAAGTCCCACTTCTTCTCCATAGAACAAGAAAAGCAGAGAAGAAAGAAGGGGGGGTAGAGCTCGAAGGCCAAGCTGAGGTAAACGGCAACTTCCCCCCTCAGGAAAAATAAAAGGTTTTTTTTTTTAAGTTTAGTAGGTAATGAAGAAATAATACAAAAAAAGGAGAAAAGTGAGGAAAAAATCCAAAGAGCCGTGAGGCAAATAGCCAAAAATAGTTGAACCGATCAGACCGACGGAGAAAACGTCTTTCCAACGCGGCGGTAAGAAAGGAACTGGCGGGATGTCCGCGCCCACCCCTCTGGGCATGCGCAGTGGGGTTCCTGCGCATGCCCAAGGTCTGGGTGCGAAAATCCGTTAAAGAGCTTACTACAATGCCGATCGATCCAGCGCGTGCGCACTGAATCCCATGGGTGTGAAGCACAGAGACCACATCAAAGATCCTTACCTACCATTCCAATGCATTTGAAAAAGGGTGCCTTGCACACGAAAGTTGATCCCTTTAATAATCCTTTCCTGGTCTTAAAAGGTGCCCCCACTGGACTCTAATTGTGTATGACTGCTTCAGACCAACAGGCTGCCCACCCAAGCCTTTCAGTTGCAAGCCTGCATGGAGGGTGCGTCACGCTTTGATAAAACTGCTGCACAATGCGATCCCATTATCCATGCGCCCCACCCATCACAAGGATGGCAACAACCGAGATGCCAGCTGGACGACATGCAAAATGTGAACTCTCTAGAGCCCCACCCACCCTCGGCAAGGAGGAGCAGTGAGAAAACAAGGTTGCACTTACCTGTAACTGTTGTTCATCGAGTGGTCTTCTGTGCAGGCACACATGGGATCTGCGCAGGCGCAGGCCAGCCACGGAAAAGATTTCCAAGCATTCTAATAGACTAGGAGCGCCCCTCCTCCCTCTGGCGCTTTCCCGCCAAAACGCTCACATGACCAGGAGGAGGGGCGCTACTCCCTCAGTTCTCTCCATGCCGCCACCGGAGACCCCTAGAAAACTAAAGTTCCAGAGAGTTCACAGCGGGGCAGGAGGGAGGGATGTGTGCCTGCACAGAAGACCACTCGATGAACAACAGTTACAGGTAAGTGCAACCTTGTTTTCATAATCGTGGCTTCTGTGCAGTCCCACATGGGAAGATTAGCAAGATCACTGAGTGAAGGAGGTGGGTGTGAAACTCTCAGAAGGAGACCACCGAGGGCCGCTTTTATCAAGGGTTGTTTAGCGGCACAAATTGACCTTCACCCAGAACTCTCCTGTACCAGAGCAGCAAGCTCTGCCTTGTTTTCATCATCGTGGCTTCTGTGCAGTCCACATGGGAGATCACTGAGTGAAGGAGGTGGGTGTGAAACTCTCAGAAGGAGACCACCGAGGGCCGCTTTTATCAACGGTTGTTTAGCGGCACAAATTGACCTTCACCCAGAACTCTCCTGTACCAGAGCAGCAAGCTCTGTGCAAGTGCCCCCACCAACATACACGTGGGAATGTGGTAAAGAAAAGAGAGCACTCTTTTGAAAAGAGCCATCATACAGAGAGTGGTAATGAAAGGCTGTTCACTCAG